GCATTCAGCAGTTATCAAAAGATTCTCATCTTCGAGGAGGGCCAATTCAGGAAGAGGAGCACTCTTGTCCTTACCAACGCCCAGGAGGCGGATTCGAGCGAATTTTACTGCGTCGCCGAAAACCGCGCCGGTAGCGTCGAGGCCAATTTCACCTTGCACGTGTCCCTAAGAACCGCGGGTATGTCGACTCTGGGCTCGGGCCAGATCGCGGGTATATCGGCCGCGTTAGTCGTGCTCATATTAATCATCCTGCTGATCATTCTCGTGCTATTCGTGCGCCTGCGACGAATGCCGCTGAAGGACGTCAAGTCATCGGCGGCGATGGAGGCAACATCCGGTGATGGTACCGGCAACGGCAGCGCAGGCGACAACAATCTACCGTCCGCTACATCGACCACTCGCAGGAAGCACGAGGAGATCGAGACAACGTCGTTCGCCTTGGAGTCGAAGCCTCCCGCCTCGTTACACTTGAGTTACGTGCAGAGACCGCAAGCGGCTGTGGTGCAGGAGACTGAATACAGTACCATCAGCCGTTTCGACGATCAGAATCAGTCCGGCGTGGCGGCGATACCGGGCGCCGGGTGTTTCTCATCTACGACGTCCCTGATGCCGATCGATAATCCGGATCTCATCAGGGACACCCGGCGTGGCTCCGCCGAGGACATTGCGTCTTACGGCGTCGCCGATTACAGCCGCGTCGGGACGATGGATGACGCTGGCAAGATGCTTTACTCCAGCTGCCTGTGGGAGGTCAGGGACACCACCTGCGGCAGGACGTCCACCGTCCCGGTGAACGCGTATCCGTCGAAGGAACAGCTCGCGGTGGTCGCGGCGCCAATTGTCGAGCAGTTCCCACCCGGCGCGAAGCAGATGCGTGTCTGGCAGAAGGGCGTCCCGGTGCTGCCGCCGGTCTCAGCGTTAAAACGCGTCCTTGGATCCACGCGCAGCTCACCTGACGAGGGCTACCAGGAGGGAACCGGCACCGATGTCTAGGTACCGCTACTTCATTACTGCGACGCCCGGCACCGTTACCTGGAACTGCGTAGGAGGCATCAGGAGGACGACACCGATTGCTAAAAGAAAAAAAAAGAAAAAAATCGTCCTCGCGAGTGCCGGACGGGCAGTAGTGAAACAGGAGCAAGAATGTGTGTCGGACAAATCTCGCTTCGAGTGTGATCGCGACCAGTGTGACGATGACCGATATCGCGCGCCATTATCGTGCGCGAAAGGACACGGTCGAGACACAGTTCTCCGCTTCTGCGGACGAAAATATACGCCAGAGTTCATGATCGTACATACAGTAATCGAAGGTACGATATTTTATCCAACGGTATTACCCAGTATCTCATTTAATCAGTGATACGGATTCAAATCAGCACCACAATAGTACCCTACAATCAGGAAGGTATGATACAAATCGCACGGTACCGGTAGGCAAGGCGAGAGCAATACATTTGAGTTTATCGCTAAAGATTGCTATAAATAAAGAATCGAATCGAAAAGTTAGACATTCAGGGAGCTTTCGCAAGATCGATTCGTAGTTAACTCGTTACTCATAGTTAACTCGAATCGGCTTCAATTTAACAAGAGACGTATCATATCATCGAGGATCCTATGGTCTATGTACATCATATGGGTATACATCGTGATATACGTTTTGTTCGGTCCCGAATAAACTGTATTTAGGGTCATCGCGTGCGATTAACACGACCTTGGTAGACGACACGACAAAACAACCGGCTCCTCTTTCTCGAAGAGACCGGCCGCTTGTGTTCACACTTGTGAGCAAGCGTCGTTTATAGTGGTGACTCTTCAAAGCGGCCATTGTATGCATGGTAATTAATAACATAATCTTGTGTGCATCACTCCAAGTACGTGCAGTGCGATCAGTTGGTAGACATTCGGTTCCATTTATTCGGATATGTACGTACATCTGTCGCAGAGATTGTTTCCAGTGCTCGACAATGTTAATTTGTACAGAATGCTCCAAGAAAAAAGGCCAACAATAGTTTGGAACGATAGTGTCTGTCGTTGCGAATAAGAAAATGTTGCTTGTAGATGTATTTTCCGTCAATAATTAAACAATCTGAATAATTCAGTTTTCTCTATGAGAGTCTGCATTTAAGAATATATAAATATTATGACTGACGATAAAGTTTCACATGATTAAGAAATGATGTACATTTTCAAGTTTACAATTGAGAATCCCTCTCGTCGATGCAATAATCGTTTCAAATTAGAGATACATTTATTATTATTTTTTTTTTATTTGCAATGAAATTAATACTATCAATTTTCAAAGTGTCGATCTTTTTTCACTGGAGCACTCTGTATAATGCAACAATGAGAGATTGCAACGATCGACCGGAAGTCGTCGTCACCTATAGCGATGTCTCGCGTGTTACACGCACACAGGCAGAGTGCATACAGGAAGTGCATACATACAGCGTGCACCGAGTCAGAGACGAGGAAGTGATACGCTACGCCGGTCACGTCATTGTCTCGGCGGTCGTGCAGCACAATATCGACGGGTAATACATTTGTATCATAGCTAAGCCATAAAGTCGGCGAATCGCGGAAGATTTCCGTAAGATTTCCCGAAATAAAAAGCGTTAGATGACTCCCCTTGAGATGATAAGTGGCGATCGCGAAGACTACGAAGACGATGAGAATGACGCGCAGAGTTACATAGGAAGTGAAAAAGTGACGCTTATAAGCTACGAAGTATTTCGCGGATTTTTTCTAGTCAATTCGGTAAAAAAGAAGAAAAAAATACGGTTATACGATGGATTATTAATTCGGCGGGACTGGAAACTCGCGCGTTGGCAAAATGTTCTCTCGATCGGGAAGTAGCCTCGTTGAATCATTCCTCGAAGCCTCGGTCGACAAACTCACGATTACGGACCGGCGAGCCTATATTGTTGCTTCGAGTGGCCGGTCCGAGTGGCTCTCGTGTTCGAGACGAAGCCTTGCGAAAACGATCGAGCGAGAGATAAACGGCAGATGCTGTTCTAGATTTATACTCACAATGACATGCTCCCCGATTTGATCGCGATCGTGGCTTGTTGGCGGATAATCTCAATTTTTTTCGAATATCCGATATTAAATTTGCAATGCTTTTGACCGATACGAATCCATTTTCCGATGTTATTTTGTATAAATGAAACAAACCTGACTGAATTTTTTTTTATTTAATTTAATACACAATTTAGTAACATATGGTTTTTTTCTCAATACTCTAATGATAGATTATTTTCTGTTATTTATTTATTTTTAGTATTTTTATCACTAATAAAAAATAATTGTTATACGAAATCCAGACAATAGATCGATATAATTCAATAATATTCATAATGTTTGATCTTAATGTTTAAAATTTTTCTAATGGGGAATATACCACATTTCTAAGTATATGTTGTTGTGACAATAAATCCAGTATATTTGTAAATCTCGATCGTTTATCTTTTATATGTGCGCTGCAGATCCACTAGAATCAATTATATAAGACTATGTGAAGAGAAAGATAAACCCGTAAATCAATCGCGGGCGAATGTATACTATTGCTCAATCACTAAAATTGGATTTCGCGATTGATTGACTGGGTTATGCTTAACATAGCGTCTTGTGAGTCTAACAATAAGTGAGTCTCTGTCGATCCATGCATTCGACGATGCATCGTCGTATTGTCAAATCGAATTACTATGCTTTCATTAAAAATAATTTTGCACTAAATTAAATGATTACTTCAGTATCATAATAAGAAACTTGACAAAATTATCAGTAAACAACGTGTTTTTTTTTAACAGCAGTTCCATAAAATGCTAATAAATTTTTAAACCTCCGCAGAAAATTTTAATTTTAATTTTTAGTTCACAAAATCGTCTTATTAGATAATTTTACATATTTAAAAAAAAGAGATATATATTTTTATGAATAGAAAAAAATGATTAATTTCCTTATTTTATTTATTAAAAATTCATTATATTTTTTGGCAATGACCAATTTAATTAAAGCTTATTTTTCAAATGCTAATTTATTCTAGAGGCATTTTTTACATCCCTTGCAGAGAGGCAAAATAATCCGATCTGACTATAAGTCAAAACCGCCAGTTGCGAGTTTCGTTCGTTCGCCATCTAAAGTATGTCAACGTGCGTTCATTTTGTATGCCGTATATAAGCATGTATTCGTGCGGCGTGTGTATGCGTGTATGTGAATATGTATGTTTCCTTCGTGTCAAACGCGCGTACGCGTTTTCCGTTTGTCGAAAATACATGCGGTCGAGATTCAGCCATTTTTGCGTTTGTCGCCGATTTTACTGTATAGCGTATCGCGCGGTACACGATCGATTTTCTCTGCTCAATGATCTCGAACCGTATCCGACATATCAAAAAACAGGGCCCTGAAATAACGCGGTCACTCCGAACGATATGTCGCATACACACAGGAGATGAATAGTCCGGACATTTGCATTGATTCTTGCATCTAAAAAGACGGGAGAGAATATATAGACGACAAACGAACAATGTTAATTATACACGAGTTCTGGTACGGTTACACTGAATATTCTGAAAACAGTTACACGAGATTTTTCTATCTGACAATTTTACTGCCTGCAATTAAAAGTCACGGTAATTAACCGGTCTCTCAAATGACGAAGAAAAAATTCATAGAGTTATGTGAAGCAAGCAACAATAATTACAATTCTTTGAGACGAATCGACTGCTGCTCTCATATAAACACGAGTTGAATATTATATATATAAAGAAAACGAAAGAGGGTAATTTGACGTTGATGCTATTTTTTAATATTTTGATATAATTAACGGAGTTCCATTTCTTTTTTATTTATTCACTTGCCTACGACTTGTTCTTTAATCGTTATCTTATCGAACGCGCGACCAAACAATCGAATCGATTTTTATTTTTTATTTTTTTATTTTTATTGGAAGTTTTGTTTTGTAACAATTTCAATTTTAGGAATGCGCTGTTACTCAATCCTACCTATCGTTCGTTGTGATCCGTTCGTTAATCTGTGCGAACCGAATTCGTCTCTGAAAAAAAATTTCGTTTAAAACTTGTACACGCAGTTTCGTTCATACGCGATATTTAAAAAAAAAAAAGAACCGTGCAATTTAAATTCGAGAATTTCTCCGTTTTGCGGACATGGTTGCCTCTTATTAAACTTAGAGTCGCTAATCTTGGAAACTTATATTTTGAGAATCGCGAGAAAATGCGAATTGACAAATATATTGCATTTTTTTAACTTATCTGCTTCGTTTTAAATGTGCTTTTTTTCAAGCATTCTCGCGTATATGTCGGCATGTGTCGATCGTTCAAAGCAGCCAAGAGTCAACTGTTGCGTGCAAGTTGAGTCTTTATATCTGATTTCCACAAGCTTTTTTTTATACCTTTCGATCGACGTGGCGCACAACTGACTGCCGCAACACCGCATGCCGGTTCAATATACGCAACGATAACATTCGTTGTCTATGTAGCGACTATAAGGCACGTGAGGTTTAAAACTTATACCGACTCGATGTGCGAGCTGTATTGATCAAGAAAATATGCGATATTAATCGTGGCAGACTGTCAAAATTGTGCGAATCTTCGGGGTGTAATCGATCACGCGAAATGACAGCGCTACTCGATAAAAATTTCTGCAAGATACATGTCGAATAGTGTAATCTAACAAGACAATTCACCGGGAAACTATACAATCGCAATATTTTTGCCATGTGTTCACTGCTCATGAAATTGAGATTTGTAAAAAGTTATGTTATGAAAAATCAATGCGCGAAATATATACGTATTACGTGCTCTATTTCACGTAGGGCACAGTAAATATTTTAAAATTTGATATATATTTACTTGAAAATTTTATCTTACGTGAGAATCATTTTCAACAATAGATTCCCAATGATCGCAGAACTAAGGGTGGCCTTTATTGGTTGTTTTCTCTTGAAACTTTCGCGCTTTGAGAATGACTCGATAATAAAACTTAGCAAGTACACACGCGGAATAATGCTGCTTTGTAGACTCATCATGGTATGACTTTGGGATTTTCACTTTCCTAAATTATCGATCCAAGTCGACACAGG